TACTGGGGAGGAAGAAAGGGAGAGTACCTTTAGTTTTGTGATACAGTGGAACATCCTTTGGAGTTATGGCAAGCCAGTCATCCTGAGCATTCTTTTGTCCCAGAATGAAGAACCTGAAGTGTGCCTTTTACAGTCCCGCACCTTCAGCTTATTTTTGCAGTGTTTTATTGATCACATCTACTCCTAATTCCTGCATGGCATTTTTGAAGAGTTATCCCTGTGGATTAACAACGTCTTTCCTTCTTCGCGTTTAACTGGTCAAAGATAAGGCACTAACCTTGATTTTTGAATTGATTTGCTAGTTGAACAAAAGGTCTTTCTTTCAGAATGGTGAGGCTAGCATACATTCTCCATAGAGCAGGTGAAAGTCCATCTCCATTTGGCTTATAACATCATTAAAGAAACTAAACTCCATGTGTACTTATGACAGGTGAGTACTCCCAGAACCAGTAGTAGAAGTTACCACTCCTTTTATGACACCAACTAAAAGTCTGAATTTGAGACAAGCTGGATGCTGAGTAAGTTGTCATTAGTGTTTTGTGAAAGTCTCAGATCTGCTCCTGGAAAAAACTGGTCTTTGCCACAGGATCTGCCGCTTTACCCTTATCCACAGCTTCAGAGGGACCAGAGGTAGACAAATCTGGTTACATCTTTGCTTTGCTGGACCTGACCTGTACATAGATTGCAGGCAAGTGCATGGGAAAAGTATGTCCATTTGACACGTATAGAAGCTTCATCAGGAAGGGAAAGTCTGTCACATAGAATGTATCATCAGCACCATCCGTTATGCACCTTCCCACACAGGGGTGTCTCAGATGCTTCGCCTGCCTTCCCCTTGCTACCTGTTTGCAAGAGAGAAGGGGCTTTCAGATTAACCTTCCAGTATCCATGCACTGTATGTTTCCCAAAAAGCATTCTGAGTCCTGCATAGGGAGCCCCTGATGCTTAGTTTGTGAAATAAGATGTTTTATTTAACTTTGTGTTCTGCCAGAGGAGCATAGCTCTGTGCGGAGCATAGCTCTGTGCAGAGCATATCCTTGTGTGCAGAAGAGGGAGGCCATGGAGAAGTGGGCTTGCCTTTAAGGCAGATGCTGAAGCACAGAAGCAAGCAGGTAACACAGTGCCCTGTTGGTTTGAGCTGTACATAGCACTTCTGGAGGATTCCAATTTAGTAGTGTTTTTGGTGTTCAAAGAGGAGGTATCAGCCACCCACCTGGTGGTTCATTTGGATCCTATCGTTAACTCTGCAGTTTAGTTGGCTACTTGTTTCCTGAAGAACAGTTTCAATATTGAGGGGGAGAGCTCTTTGATATTGCTGAGGAGTTCTGAGTGTGTGTGTTTAGGGAGAATAAATGCTTTTTTCTTGCTTTTTTCAGCTTATAAGAGTAATGGGAAACAGACGTGACAGGTATTCAGCCGAGTGTATTTGAGCTAACTTCATTAGCTTCTTGCAGTCATACACATCAGGGTACTTAAGCTGTGGCTCCCTGCACTGTTACACTCAGGAATGTTTCCAGAAATGGTAGGAGTTCCAGTGGGCAGTAGCTGCAGCTCTTGAAATGAGAATTTACTTCAGAGTTTTTAACTGGGAGCATGAAACATGTTTCTTCTTAATTACAGCAGCTTCATAGACTCAGTCTTTAGTGTTCAGTAGTGTTCAGCCTTCTGACCCTTCTGGAACAGAGGCTTGAGCCAGTTGTGCCCTCTCTAATGCATTGATTTATCACAGGTAAGTGCAAGAATAATTTTTACTATAAAAAAAAAATTGCTCACTGTATTTTATGTAACTTAGTAAAACAGTACTGAGGAGAAAAAATCCAAGGTTAAAATTCATAATACTTCAGAAAATAAGATTCTGTTGGTGACACCAATCCTTAGCAAGTTGAAAAGAGAACTACTATTTTAATTGAAGACTTAAGGCTGCACACTTCTGATTTCCTCTAAAATACAGTGTATTTTCTTTTCCATGATAGAATTGATTTAATATAGTGTTATTCTTCATATCTACTTGAGCTGAGGAGGCATGAGGCTTTATATTTCAATAATGAAGAAGAATGTTTCAGGAGATGTACAAGGGGTACTGCAGGGATGAAATGAGATGAGTTTTGTAATCTTTCTTGCTTTTGTAAGGGTTGGCATTGTGGTCGGGCTTGATGTAGAGGCCTGTCTTCTAAAAGCTGTGCACTGCAGCTTTCCTGAAACCACTCATTGCTGTGGCTGAATGGATATACTTGTGGGGTTGTTTTCAGTTGGGTTTTGGTGGATTTTGTTGTTGTTGTGTTACAACATCAATAATTAATGGCTGTAAAAGCCAGTTGGGTAGTAGGCTCTGTTCTGCACTGAATTGGAAGGGAGGAGAGTTCAGTTTCTCAATAAACAGTTCTTCAGTTTTGGTTAAATAAGGTTGAAGCTCTTTCTTTGACTGAGCAACACGCTTTCATTCCAGAATGAAGGGCTTCTGAAATGTTCTCACCAAGGCTTGATTAAATTGACATTCTTGACAATTTCATGATTTCACCAATTCAGTTTTCCAGTGGAAAGCTACTCCATCAGAAATACAGACCAGATCCGTAGCTGGGGACACAGACACTGCCAGAATTTTTAGCTCTTTTCAAGTAATTTCACAGGCATTAGAGTAAAATTACTCTTGCTTCTATAGAAGTCCTTATTTTCTTTTGAATTACAGACTGACTTCATGAAAGATTTCATTATTTAGATGTTCATGCAGAGCCATCAAGGAAATAAGACAAAAATTCAGGCAGAAGGTTTTGTAACTTCTACCACAGACAAGATGAGGAAAAAAATTTTGCTTTTACTAATGTCGGCAAATGGCTTTTAGTATCGTTTCCAAATAGATGGAGGCTGTGGAGGTTGTTTGACTACGTATGCATGTTTTTGAGCAGGCATAGCTTTAAGCTAGTTTCTAAATATGTTTGGGACTAAAGTTAAAGCAAGAGCGGGTCAGGGACTAAAGACTGGGTGGATGTCACTTGTGTTGGTTCTATATATATATTTTGGAGGTAACTTTCCTGATGGGTGTTTGGGGGTATCTTTTTATAGAATGAGAGATTTATCATTTACTGTAATGTGGATTCATTCCTGTAAAAAAAGACACATGCCAGCAGATGGAGTGAAGTTACTTTTAAGTAGTGGAGATTCACTAAATAGTTAATTTCTAACACCAAAATATCAAGAGGGAATTTTCTTTTCTGCAGTTTTGCAAAGCAAGCCCTTATTGCATTGAAGGTAGAGCAACTACATTTAAGCTTTCGTTTAATGGTCCATATAATTGGAAACATTAAATTCGCTTTAGCATCTATTCCTCTAGTGTTTCCAAACACAGGTCCCAGTTCTGCCAAGACTCCATGGATGTTTAAAGTTTAACAGATGAAGATTCCCATATGTCTGTCACAGGAAAATAAAAGAACATAGATTTAAAGGAGTCCTGGGCTAGGAAAGAATTCTTTCCAAATGAAGTTGGAAGTACTCATGCATGCACCTGTGTATGGAGATCAAGGTGGATTTAGGACTACGAATGTTTTCCTGGAAAGTGAAATACAAGAGCCCCACCACCACAGGGTCTTCTCTGCTCCAGCATCATAACATGCTTACTTGATCTTAATAGTTCCTGCAGTACAATACCAGCACAGGGAATTTGTCAGTTGGGAAGAAGGGAAGAGATGGGAAAGGGGAACTTTTTAAGAAATATTTTCTGAGTCAGTGTGAGTTGTAAATACTGATGCCACTTGACAGGACTGATTTCAGTAAGTGGAAGGGGATTTTATGTGGTGGGTATAATCACTAATACATGAGTAGCACTGCTAGAATACAGCCTGGAATAGTTCAGGCAGGAGGAAGCAGCTGAAGAGGTTTCTTGGATTTGGAAAGCAGAAATACTGAAAATACAAGTAGTGTTTGTTTCATGACCTTGCCTCCAATGGAACTGCTAGATGGTTTCCTTTCATTGCATAAAAAGTCGTAAGAAAATCAAGACAACCACTCTTATATTTATTCTTACAGTTTTTTACATTAAAATCCTGTTCCAGGAGGTGATAAATGTGATTGTTTGTGCAGTGTTAGGCTGAGACCCTTGAAGTACCCCATTGCCCCCGTCCCTCCCTCTCTGTAGGATTTTTTGGGTTACTACTGCTAGTATCCAGTAAAGCTGAAAGTAGCGTAAGCAGCACTATTTCCCTGCAGTGCTTTTGTAGGTTATTCTGAGGCGAAGTCTGCTGTTAACTTCTGCCCTGTAGTACCACATTCAAAGTCCTTCTGTCTTTCAGAGATCAGTATGTTGCCTGCACTCTGCTGCTATTCCTGCCCATTTTCACCCTGCCTTTTTCCTTAGTGTCCTGCTGCCTCACACCTACCAGTTCTGTGCAATCCATCATTTTACCAGCTAACTTTATCTTTTTTTACAGCTCTCCTCTTTCTAGTAATTCCTCTTACTACCTATTAGTGAATCCTCAATGCATGCCTCTCGATATTAATTGCTGTGTATCTCTTATTTGTGTTGCTTATCTGATAATTTGAATTCTAACAAGGTTAGGATTTTGCCCCCTTGCTTTGTATAAGTACACAATGTGCTCAAAATGTTTAATATTGTTTCTTGCATGAAAATGTCTGTCTAGACATACTGAAAACCTTGCTAAGACTAAGGGGATGAATGAAGGATATTTAGTCTGGTGTTAGTTTTGTTTGTGTATCTATATTATGCCTGTTGTGCTGGAATGCAATTTTAAGGGATGTTTGTTTATCATAGGATCTATCAAAGTAATGATTGGAAACAGTTTCATTTTCTGTGTTCTTTGTATTGTGCACTATAGTCCGTACGTGGAGGTAAGTCACATTTAGAGTATCTGAAGTCTGTAGGAATCATTTTCCTATTCCCATATTAAAGAGTGTCTCTCACTGACATTTTTCTTTCTTTTTTGTTTTCCTTCTGATCTAATTTGAAGGAAGTGAGTGAAGTTAACCTTTGTTTCTGTGTATCCTTGCAGACTTTGCCATCTAGAGATGTCTCCTTTCCATATAAAACTCAGTTCCCTTATAGTGAGTACAGCACAGAATCTAAAATACTAGATTACGTGCAAGAGCTGGACTCCTCCTTCCATCCAGTCTTATCATTCCCTGCAGGTAAGTAACACCAGAGAGAACTATAACAGAGGGTGGTTGTGCTTGTGAGAGCTGTAGAGTTTATGGACCATCTTCTCAGTGATTTTTAGAACTTAGTTCTCTTACAGTTCTTTTTCCTCATACTGGCAAAATATGTGAGTTTAACTAAATGAAAATCTTAACTTAAAATCTTAAGTTCATCCTCACATTTAAAAAACAAACCTTCTACGTTTCCCATACCAGTAATGTGATTACAACCAAAAAGCTTTATTTAGGTTTTCTGATAGTTTTTTGTGATAGTCATTTTGGTGGTCTTTGAAGTTTATGGTTACTGTCAACTGATTCTTTAATCTTCTTGAACAACAATGTAGATGATGATGTTTGTGACTCAGCTCTGAAACTAGTGCACGTGCAGCCTGACATCTCTTGGAGCTTCAAAATAGCATATTTAATGCTGTTATCTGCAGAAGGGATGCATACTATTGGATTTTAGTTTTGGGGGTTTTTTATTATAGGAAAAAACTATTTCCAGATAGTTGTTCACCAGTACAGGATTTCTGCTGTTCTTGTGGTTGTCTTTGCCACAGAATAATCCTGAACATGATGCTGGGATCTCTGTAGAAGTGTTTGAGTCTTTAAGCAAACCCAGTGTCTTCCCAGGATGACAGTGTAGATGCTGCAGCCTGGTATTAGGAATTCAGGGATTAAAGCAAAGCTTGGGTTTGGAGAACTTGTCACTGGCCAGTAGAGAAGACCGAAGCACAAATATGGAAACCTGCAGAGGACTCTATTCTTGAAGGTTTACAAGCATTTACATCCCCCATGTGGGATAAAGAGATTATTTTGAGGAGCACATAGGCGAAACAGAACACTCACTCCAAGAATGCAACAGCAAACATCCCAGTCAGGAGGACGCTGTTGTGGAGAGGAGAGAAAAACACCTCTTAAGTCTCTCTTATTTACACACATTCTCCGTGACTTACCCTGTGACTCTGACAGCCCAGCTGGACAGGAGCCAGGGGGGTTAGAAGTCTGTTCAAGGATAGTCATATAAGGCTATGCCCCTTGCATTCATTCTTACCTTGCTCTTTAAGGGAGACTAGGAAGTGTAACAAGAATATTGACATTTTCTTTTTTTAAAAGAAAGATTAATCATAATGGAAAAACCTGGAAGACTTTGGATTGCACTGTGGCAACTGTTGGTCACTTTGCCAGGATGGAGGAAGAAAAATGTTATTTTAGCTTCGTTCCAATACCAAGAACATCTTTCATTTTGAGGAATATTAATTCTGTTTTCGAGGAGCCTGAGCCTCGCTAATAATAGTTGAGACAGGAAAAGAGTCCTGGACCTACAATCTCCTGCTCAGATGCAGTCCTTGTTTTTGAGGGAGGCTAGGTTTATGCTTCTCTCTGTGCTTTGTGTACTTTGCTGTCTTTACCTCCTCATGAAGACCACTGGTCTATTTGTCATTTTCTTTCATATGAAAGAATTATTCTGGATAAATATTTTTCCCTTTCAAAGGAGAATCATAATTTCCAGGCAGCCCAGTAAATACAGTGTAGTGAGACTGGTATACTGACAGAAAACAACAGGAGAAATATTCTGTTTCTTTACTTAACTGTTGTGACTGATAAACCTTTCAGACCTTCTTTATGTTTTACTCAGAAGTAGAACAGGAAACACAGCAAAAACCTTGGGGTCTTGTGAAAAAATAACTAGTTAAATCCATATCGAATTGAAATAAATTGTCATTTTTTAGTTAGCAGAATATGTTGAGTTTCTTCCCTGGCACATCCTGAAGGCACATTGAGGCTAAGATTGTATGTAAATAAAACCAGTTTAATGCCCACCCCTTGGCCCTGCTCTCAGTCCTCATTCTGAATTAATAGTTGTCAAACCTGCCTCTTACATTCACATATTTATTTCTACTTAATTTCTTGTTTTTCTTGTAATTTTGTTTCTGGAAAGGCTTTTCAGGTAGAGACTTCTTTTTCTTAAGCCTTCTTGCATTACAACAGTGGGTAAATTCCTTACCACTTGAGATGTTTTGCAGTCTAAGTCTGGGTTAGAACTCACTCAGGAAATGAATTACATTGCCCTGCTGTAGCCTTTGCCAGAGAGGGAAAGAAGGAATGTACCTTGAAATTACCTCTAGGCTCCCAGCAGTAACAGTTTCCAAAGGCATTTAGTTTTACTTTGACCTTCTTAATTCTGGAGTAATTTCAGTGTGGACATAGTTTATTCCAGACATGACACAACCTTGCTCTTTCTTACTTGAATTTTGAACACCACAAAATAAGTGCTGTTTATCTACTAAAGGCATGTGCTTACACACAAGAGCAGTCCTAAATTTGAATCCTACCTTGATCTTAAGTTGTCCCATCAACCCTTAGGAGTTCTTCGTGGTAGAGAGCTTGGAACCGCTTAAGCTACCGCCTTGGTCAGCATGTATGGCAGTGTGGCTTCACAGCTAAAATGAATTTGGTTTTACCCTGGCATAACCCTCACTGCAGGTTAATAGAAAGAGGGATACTTGTGGTCTCACCTCCAGGCAGTTACTGAAGATTATCTTGTACAGTATTTAGATAATGGGTAGAAAAGGCAACAGGGATAATTATGGGAGATTGCACTCATGCAGTAAGTATCCTGCTGAGAATTACCTTGCCTGAAATTTTCTTTTTAATCATCCAAAAATCACTTATTTCAAATGTCTGGCTGGGCTTTTTTGGAATATTGTTGTTGAGTTTTCCTTTGGTGTCACCAGTTTCAGGACATCTTTTCCTATATTGTCTTCAGCTTTGACAGTATGAAGACACTGGTGCCGTACATCCAAGTGATCAGTCCTTGCAGAAATTACTGGGCATTGCTGTTCTTCATGAGTTGAAGGACTCAAGGCAGTGATACTCCTCGTAGATCATAGTACATAGTGCTGTGTGATGTAAATTGATTCCTAGACCTTCAGTGATGATGCATAATTTATTGACACAGAGGTTGCCATCTTTCTGACAGACAGACCCCATTCAATTTGGATTTTTCTTTTTTCATTAGATATTCCTCTTCACATATACTTTGAAGCATTATTAAAGAAGGATGACATCAAAGGAGAACCTGTTGATACCTCATCTTCAGGAGGGGAAGTTAAAGCATCTCCAGAAAATGGTATGTAGATGTTCAATTTATAAACTTGCCACAAAGCAGGTTATCAGAGAAGGTAACTGGCAAGGCTTTAGGTGGTTTTATATCAGAAGCCTGGGTTTTTTTTCCATTATAAATAGTTCAGGAATTGAGATTGCTTGTAAATAGCACCAGTGGAAAATATATTTTTCAAGATGATACATGCTTTTTCTGTTGTAGACCATAATCAGCGTAATGTTTCTATCAAGCAATGGAGCGATGGCTGTTTATCTACTTCCAAATCTCAGTCAGTATCAGGAACATCTGACCAGCTGTCAGAAGGCAGAAAGAAAAGACATCTCAGTGAGACAGCAGTAGGTAAGAAAAAATGGTATTACTTAAGGCAGCACTACTTCTTTTATGATTTCTACTCTATAGATGAATTTGTTATCAGTGAGCTTTGACAATTAATTTTAAGTTGTCTCTAAAAAGGATATTGTTACAAGACTTTACAGGACTTAGGACACCGTGAAAAGAATCTGCTGTTTTAAAGTATAGTAATCTTTCTTCTTGAGTGTATACTACAAAAAGAGACAACCTTCTGTGTTTCACTTTTGGAATACTCTTGAAGGAAACTGCTCCACAGTCCAGTTGTGTTTTTCTAATACTGGGTGTCGTTGTTTTTAATATGAAAGAGTTTTTTATAGTAGTCAGTGAAACAGACTGAATTGCAAAGTTATCTGTCAAATCATGTGCCTGACCAAACATCTACTATTCCTGGCATCTTTGTTAGCTATGTTTCATTTGTTGTGTACTGTCATTTGTGGTTCTGGTTTCCTTCCAGACTGTGAAGAGGACTTAGGGGTAGCCAGTACTTATAATTAGTGTTTTCACCCTTATCTTTATATTTTAAGCTGTTGAATCTCTGCTTAAGCACTTGGTAAATGAATAGAAATTGCCCTGAAAGTTCCGTAGGGTAATACGATATTTGGGGAGCAAAAAGTTCAGCATACTATTGTAAAGATAAATACCACCTTACCTGTCCAGGCTATTAGAATGTAAAATCTAACAGATTATATTACAGATTCATTTATGTGGAAAACTTTTGGCAAAATCCTCCCAAGAAGTTTGAAGAAAATAAATCATTGAGTAAGAGGACAAACTATGTTAGTTTAAAAGTTCCCCTGAGAAAGAATTGAAAGGTATAAATGATAGTTAACATTGTGGAAAAATCACTTCTGGTGCATAGCCAGGTAAAACTGTTAGCGTGGTCTTGCAGTAGAGGTGGAGATAGGGGAATTACTATAGAGATGATTTAACTGAAAATTATGATCTATTTAAAAGAACAAACCAAACTACAACCAACCAAAAACCCCTTACTAATAAAAAGTTACAGGAGAGAGTAAAAGGTGGTTTTGGATACACTGAAAACTGTCTCAGCTTTAGGTGTTTAACGGTTCCCTAAGTCTACTGTCATACACGCGGCGATCAACAATTGGAGTTACTTGAGTGCACTAGTAAGAGAGAAAACTGCTTGCTATAAACCTTTTGAAGTTACAATTAGTCTTCTGCCAATAGTATTTAGTTCTTTGAGTTAATGGAACAAAAAAAAAAAAATAAAGCAATCTTTTATCATGAGGATCAGTTTCCCAGTGCCAGAAAACTGCTATGTGGTGTATTTGTGAGTAGCAGCAGCAGTTCTAGCTTATTAGTGCTACGGGTATAGTACTACATATTTATTCCTAATTTGGGCTCTGTCTAGGAGAAATTATCCATGGGGAAGGTCAGCCTGATGAACAAGGCCAAAAATAAAAGCTGTGTGCCAGGGAGCTGCAGAGCTGCCTAGGAGATGAGAGTTCATGTCCTTGACCCAGCCTGTGCAATGCCATCTTTAAGATCAGTCTTACCTCTTTTTCTGTGTTGGAATTCATGGATTCTTTTTATTAGTCAGTATATTAAATCTGAGTTTTCTTTTCTTACTGGAAATTAAGGTAGAGGGAAAACAGAACACGGGTGGTTAAATTCTGAACCCCGTAAATGCTCTTTACACTGGGAGTGAGTAAGAGTAAACAAGAATTAGTTTATCTGGAACAATGGACCGCTACTAGAAGAAACCACACATGGAGATCTAGAAACTGATTGTTTTTCACCCTTGCTGCGAGTTTTCTTTTATCATTTATCAAGGAAGAAACTGTCAGTGAGGGCTCAGTGGATGTCAGTGAGATGCACCCCAGCCGGGGAAGTACCTTTAGGGAACACTGGGGACCGTTCCTCTAAGTCTGACTGCATTTGTGCTCCTATGGTAGCTCTTGAAAAAAAGCAGCAGGATTTGCCCATATGAAGCTGGTTCCACGAGAAGAAATCCTTCATAGAAGGAAAGGGATGAGTTTTATATAACAACAAGACAGGATAAGTAGCAAGTGTTTATTTAGATGGCTTTTTTTAGTATTTGGTAAATTAAGTGGTTAGCTGTGGGCTTCTAGAAATGACTTTACTATTACTGTATGGAAAAATATCTTGGTCTGATAGACAATAGCCAGTATGCCTTTTTTTTATTACTATTTTTCGTGGCAGGAGAACATAACACTAGGTTTGAGACATTCTCCTTTCAACAAGCAGAACCTGAATCCCACAGCAGTTTTGCTGCCGCGACCAATGTCAATGTGATGTCTAAGCCCTCTCCCAGCACTTCATCACAGGTAAAGCAAAAGCGTGTCACTGTCTTAACTGAATTATCAACAGAGAGCTGTGCAGATTAATAATCCAAACCCATGTGCCTTTTGTATCTAAATTAGTGTTAAATTACAGTACCGAGCGTTTTCACAATGAACTAAGTGGATTATGTCAAGTGATTTATTCCAGATTGAGTATGTGGTGTTCCTAAAACAGATACTTTCTTGTAAAGGAATTTTGCAGATCATATAACTAGAGAGTAAGTTTAGTTTATGGCCGTTGGGCCTTTTTCTTTTCCAAATTTTATTAAATATACTGTGATTTATGCTCTGAATTTTACACAAAGGCTCTTATGACCCTTTTGTCTTGGTACAGCTACGTAAAATGGCCTCGTGGTGCAAATATAGTTGCAGAATTTGTTAACTCTTAGCTTCACTATTTAAAACCTCTTTGAGCAGAACTACAGGCAAACTCTTGGGTATATAAATCTGCTGAGGAGCAGCAGAGCTCTAGTTCAGTGAAGCTCCTGCAGAAATACACTTTGTTTTATTGGAGTTCATTGACAATTTTGTCATAATACTTGGATTTCAGTCCGATGGTTCTGCTAAGCATAGTGGTATACTGGTGCTCTGTAAGTTGTCATATTTCAATCTGCTGATGGCTCCTGGAGGGCTGGGTTTAAATCTGTGTCCCCCACATAGTTCTGACAATGCACACTCCTCTTTTTTCCCTTGCTTGAGCAGTTCACCATCAAAGAACACCTAAAAGAGCATTTAGAATAGGCTGCTTCCTTTAAAGTCCAGCTAAAAAGTGAGATCTTGTAATATGGAATGTATCATGATTTAAAATTAAATTTTCTCCTGTAATTGAGGAACTTCAGGTTTTGACCCATGCAGGTTCCGTGCACTGGTGGGCAGACTACCACCAGGAATCCTACTGTGATCACAGCAAAGAAATGCACTTTGTCATGTGTTCCTGTGTGCAAATGTCTTCTGTACTTCTTTGAGAAAACCACTCTTCCTGTAGGCTGTTCTTCACTGCTTAATGTAGCTTCATTCTTCGGGAATTCTTAATTGTATCACACTGAAGGTTATGGATTAGTAGATAGATTATAGAAGTTCACCTTTGTAGACTGAACCATATGAAGAAGGCAGCATTAACTTCAGAGTTCTCATAAGTATTCAGGATTAACTGTAACTGAAATCAAGGAAAAGAAGCTCACTGATTTGAGCAAGAGTTATGCCAAAAGATTAAACCCTGAAGATTGTTTTAAGATTCATTGAGATTCCATCAAGGGGAGGAGCAGCAGCAGAGGTCATTAAGCCTCTAGAAAATGTGTTTGAGTTGCAGACTTTCTCCTCGTGCATTTCTGATGTTTCTCAGCTAACATGCAGTTCCTGTGATTTGAGCTGACAAATCTCCTCTGGTATTGATTATATTGTACAGCATAACTCCAGGAGGAGGTTGAGAAGCGAGAGCTCCTATGATATAGACAACATCGTTATTCCAATGTCTCTGGTGGCACCATCGAAGTTGGAGAAACTACAGTACAAAGAAATCCTCACACCAAGGTTTGTTCATGACCTCCTTAGTTGCAAAGAAGATACTAAAACAAACGTGAGAACATGATTCTGAGATAATTTATAGTATTAGGATCATCTTTTCATGCACTTGATTTTCAGTTTGTGTGACTGCAGCTGTGGGAAGACATGGCATCTGATAGCACAAGGGAAATAGTCTGATAACACGTAGGGAGGTGGCAGATGCACAGACTGGCTAAAAACAGAAGTGGGTTCATACCATGACTGTAGTCATATTCATGACCTTAAATACACCATAAGGCTGACATATTCTGAATGGTCATTTGAAGGTTGTTGTCTTTTTTGTGTGTTATGGTTCATGAGAACATAGTTAACTATTTTCAGTGGATTAAACAGAAATAGTTTCAGCATATATTTGTAAAATTTATCAATTCTTATACAGTACAATAAGCTTTTTTTCTTCCATTAAGTGTAAACCTGTAATTTTAGAAACATTTCTAGAAACAGCTTTTTATTTTGATTGCTAAAACAAGATAATTCATCTCCTATGCTGAATTGCTAGCAAATTGCATCAGATGGCTGAATGCAGTTCCATATTTTAACTCTCTAATTTGTATTTGTTTTTATATTGTCTTTGAAGCTAAAACTCATATTAAGACTAGTGGGTAGCTTAAAGGCTGTGTTGGAAAAAGGAAGGTTAAATATTGGTTTGGGAAAGGAAAACCTAAATTTGAGGCATCTGTTACCAGCTCTCTATATCTGAAGCTAATTTATTTGAAAGGATTTTGAATCAGAAGCAATGTTGAAGGAGGTGTAACTAACAATAGAGTGCAGAAACAGGAGAGTCATCCCTACTGCTGCAATAATGAAGCAGTGTTCAGGTTAATTAATTTGACTTTCCTTGTCTCACTTCCAGCTGGAGAGTTGTTGAATTTCAACCTTTAGAAAGCTCTCCTACAGATGAAGAAGAGGTAAGCTGTATTTTAATTAAATCAGCAGTTGTTAATTAAATGAGCTATAATACAGAATTGGGATAATTGGTATGTATTTTCCAAAGTCACTGACTTCATGCAAGTATCAGACTGAAAATGTATCTCATCCCAACCTACTTGACCCTATGGTGGATGACAGGAATGGGAGTATATCTGTTCATAATCATTGTTCACTTGGTTGGTTGGCTCCTCTGTCCCTTGCTGCTGGCACGGTCAGTGCTCCCTAAGGGCCCTTTTGCACAGGCCTCCACCTTCTCTGCTCACAAGCACTGTGGTGCTGGGTCTCTTCCAGGCTACCTGTGCTGTAATGTGTGTCCTTCTCTCTCATCTTATTTTTCCATGGCCAGCTCCCATGGTGTGTTGCTCTTCAGAAGATCATTCAGAAATTTGCCTGTGAGCCCAGCAGGTTTTCCTCAGTTTTCTTCTCCTGCAACCTTCCAGCTGGGAGCAAACTTCTTTTGTTGTTGTCAGGAACAATGTAACTTTTAGCATTTCCTGCTTGTCCCTTGAGCTAAGTTTGCACTTAGCTACTGTAGTGCTACTGTTTATTCCCCCAGACCTAATTTACCTCTTTTCTTCCAGGGAATGTCCGTGGACTTTGCAGCTGGGGCTCCCTTTCTCCCCTTTCTCAAATCAGGGGTTTGAGAATTTCCTAACCCCAGCACAAATTGTGCCAGCAGGTCTCTCCCTAGGCTTGTTTTCTGTCCTTTGTGGCTTCTTTTCCATAAACTTGCCAGTTTTGCTGTGCTTTAGACATCTCTGTCTTCCTCCAGTCTCTGCTATAGGCCCCTATCAACTGTTGTAACTGTAAGACTTGTATTCATACCTTCACCATCATCATCATCATCACAGACTGGTTTGGGTTGGAAGGACCTTAAAGCTCATCCAGTTCCAACCCCTGCCACAGGCAGGGACACCTTCCACTAGAGCAGGTTGCTCCAAGCCCCTGTGTCCAACCTGGCCTTGAACACTGCCAGGGATGGGGCAGCCACAGCTTCTCTGGGCACCCTGTGCCAGCGCCTCAGCACCCTCACAGGGAAGAGCTTCTGCCTTCCAAGAGCGTTGTGCTCTCAGCTGCACTCATGTGGCACCACACTCTCGGGTCGAGAAGAAGAGAAAAACTTACTCTGTCCCTGTCTTTTCTCATGCACTTAAGAAATTCCGGTGCTCAGATATACATCACCTCCACCACCGCCTTTGGATTCGGTACCATGTCTGCTAGCAGGAAACATGTCTGACCTTCTTTTGTAGTGGGAAGGTCAAACTACATACAGAGGAGAACTCCCCTGCAAGGATACCTAATTAAACCATTTAGAGAGTATCTAACAAGGCAGCAAGGGTGTGCTGTCCCTTGAGAATTTGCTGTTCAGTACTTTCACTTAGTGATTTTGCCTTCAGGGCTTCAAGGGGCTTGTTTGGAGGACTCAGTGGGTTTCTCGTTTAGGTTGCAGATCCCATACAGATGACTTATCTCACATACCTCTAGTGTATTTTGCTGGAGGGAGTTCAAGGTGGCTCTCTATGAAGCTTATGGGCTAATCACTCATTTAGTAGTCCTCCCTATACATTGTGTTTGGCATGACTGGCTGATCCTGTATTCCTGTATTCCATCCTTTGGCCAGGAAATAACTTGAGTTTAACAATAAAGCAGCTTTGCCTCCTGCTGTGGTCCAGTGCTTCTGTATTGTCTGTCAGCTGCTGGGTGGAATGAGAGAGAAGTCAGACAAGAGAAAAATGCTAAAGATCTGTTTGTCTAAATCATCCTTTGCCAATTTCCCCCCTTTCTTTTGGGATTGTGTTAATTGGTTTGGAAGTTTTTCAGAGTACTGGAAAAAGGTGGTTGCCCAATCATAATTCTTCCAATTCCTCGATTTGGGTTTTAGGCTGAGTTAGGTTTGTTACTGATTGAGCGTGAAAAAAGACATGAGGAAACAGCAGCATTTTTTTTTTCTTCTTGCATTTTCTGCTCTCACACTCTGACACTCTTGAAATCGTTCCTTGTACTGAAATCAAAGCAAGTTTCAGTAGATCATCCGTGAAGGACAAGAGAAGGCAAAATGTACTTTCTGCTTTCATATAAAGTAAGCTCTTTCTTTGCTTTCTACTGCATAGTAGCCTGTGAAGGAACTCTATAATAGCATCTTTTCTGCTTGTCCTCTGTGTAGCTAAATTTAAAACTTCTGGAGTTGTTCTTGTGTCAACCAGCAGTTATGGAGTTCTTACACTTGATATCTTCCCCTGCTGCTCTGTCCCTTCTCTTTCTTCTTCATTTAAAGGCTTTCAATTGCAACAACCTGTAATCCATACAACAGACTTGCACCCAGGATTTCCACAAGTTACAAAAATGGGGGGTCCCAAATTTGTCATCCTCTGAGGAGCCACATCTCCAAGGATGGGAAATCATCACTTTCTGAAACTCAGGCCTATTTGCTGTCACTTTGAGTACAAAAAGCTTACCTTTTGTGGGTGCCAGGTTTTTGTTTCTGGACATTTTGCCTAACAAGGGCAAACTTAACAGCTGGGCAATGCAAAGGTTAATCTACTGCCTACGTCTGCTCTGTTTCTTGCCCTAAAAATACTGAGGTTCTGGAAATAGAGCAATTGAATTTCCTGTTTGCAAGTATGAGTTTGGAATCTGCTGTTGCTTTAAGGCAGGGGAGGGTGTGGCATTGGTTTTCCTGGTTTATTTTGGTTTTAGTTTGCTTTGTCCAGGTTAAAGACTCTGGCAAGGCACAGTTGTAAAGTAATGTTCCAGTTTAGTTTGTAGTTGTCTTAGTCATGACAAATCCTTTGGAAGAATTCTGTGTGTAATTAGTTTTGCATTAAGTGTTTCGTGGCTTATGAGTCAGTGTTTCCTGGGAAGCCAAAGACTGAAGCACACAGACTTTGCTGTTTTGAGAACCTTTCAGAAACATTCCGGGTGCTATTCAACGTTAATGCACAGTGTCTTGTACCTTAACTAGATGTGATGTGGGGATCCAAACCTTAGTTTGCTTTAAGTCTTTTTCTTCGAGTGAAATCATTAGACATGCCTCACAAACAGGCCTTCCTAATAGTCTTTTTTCTCGATGTCCCTGCCAGCTCCATCCACTGGGGAATGACAGTCCTTTTGTCCTTTTTCAAACCAATCTTAGCAGGGGGAAATAAAAATTCTCCAGTTCTAGCAACTTTAAATGAACCCAAAGGTGGTGGAGGAAATCTCTAAAGTGTTACTAAACAAGTAGTTAAATCTGCTATCACCAGCTATGGCAAAGGAACCGTAAGGCTTACATCTGTATGTTTCAAAACTCCTCTCTTGGAGAGGAATGTGGACTTTGATTTTTAAACGGAAGCGTGTTAGAAATGAAGTTTTCCCAGCATGAAAAGTTCTGGCAATTTGCTAAGAAAAGTATTTTCAAAGTCTTGAGTTTTTCTTTCAAAATTATCTTTTGTTTCCACTTCAAAGGCAAGCTGAGCACAAGGAAAAATCCTGAATTTTCCCTGAGGGAATAGCACTTCTGTAGTTCATAAAATTCTCACTTTCACGCTATATGCCATTGACCTTGGAAAGTCAGCATCAGAACTGAGATGCAGCCCCACACTGGTGCCATCCAAGTGGCAGAGCTGGTGAATTCCAGAGAGAGGAGGAAACCCATTAAGCTGACTGTTGACTTGCATGAAAGGAAACCAGCAACTAACAAAAGTGTTCTGTGTTTAACATAAATAAATAAAAGCAGTGGGGCATCTTCAAAAAGCAGTCATGAGGTGGGCAAACAAAGCAGGCCTGTTTGTATGAAGGTTCCTGCTGAGTGCTGGGCTGAGGAGGAACCAGACAACTACAGCTGTAACAAGCAGGTCCTGTGGCCAATTCAGATCACTCTGAAATCTTTGGGATCCTTTTCATTGAACCCCTCAGATTTCATTGTGTTGCTGTAGTTCATGACCAGCTGTCTAGGAAGTGTGCTCTCTAGCAAGCTGAGTGCCACTACCACGTAGTTTATAACAGCATAAATGCATTGTAATGCTTTGGGTTTGTGCTCATAATAGTCATAAACCACCTTAGTGCTGCAAGACTTAATACGAAGAACAGCCTCTGCAGAAAACCTATGGGCTGTTAGTTGTTTGGAGTGGAGTACTTCCCAGCTGACAGTGTATACTGCATTGTGTGGTGCTGTCTGGCACTGCAGGGAGGACTCGGCATTTGGGTCTGTATTTCAGTAGTCTTGGTTGGAAGATACATGGTGTTACTTGTGTTAACACCACAGGGAATTTTGCTTTATAGAAGAAATTCAGTTTATTTTCCATGACCCCCCGATTATGGGTACAGGTCTTACTTAGGACTGATCTGGCAATGCAGCTGTACAGCTCCTATGACCAGGAATTGTTCTTTCCTAGAATTCCTCTGCTTTTGTGTGTCAGGAGCAGCTGGCATCAAATCCAATGGCTGCAGCACTCATGTGCTCTCGCCAACCTTAGCTTTTTAGGTGAACTTTGAAGAGCTTGAATGGTTTGGAGCACATTGAAGTAACTCTGAGCTGTGCTGGAGGGGTCCAGCCAAGAGCTCACTGCCATGTGGGGAGTGAGGGGGAAGGGCAGCAAAGTGCTGTTGGTCTGAGGAGCTTCCTGGTGTACTGCCAACAGCAAAACGAAGATGGTTCTTTCTAAGGGAAGATTAGAGGTGGTAGCTGCATCTGAGGAGTTTTACCTAAAAAGCTGGCTCTTGTCTGACTACGAACAGTTGAAAGTACTCACATTAGGGCTGTTTAAAGCTGTACCAGGGTCATGCAAATCATTTGCTAAGAAATAGTCCTTGCAGAGCAGAAAGCATTTTCTGCTTGGTTTCATAGCAGGAATGCAGCACCTCAGGTTTGCTGAGTTCCTGTTGGTGCAGAGCTGTGGAAGTCCTTGGTGATCTCAGACCTGTTTCTCTGTGCTTAAAGAGCACTTGACAGATCCTGCTGCCTCCCAGCCTCCTCCTAAAGCAGTCTTTGGAAACTCCTGGAATTTTTCCTTGTCTTTATTGTGTGCTTTTAATACTGCCCTGATTTGCAAATGAATACTTGTCCTCTTAATTTTCTGCCTCTCACCATAGAGAAAAATGTGTTAGTTGGGAGGGAGGGATAATTTCTATATCCATTCAGATCAACCACAGACGTAAAGAAATAAAGTGAAAGTGACAGCATCCCATATACCAGAGCTGTAGTGAGAACATAAGCTGAATGCACGTATTTTGATGTGCCTTTTTACTGCAAGCATGGATTGTGTTACCTCCTCTTGTTGGTGAACAGACCTCTGCAGAGTTATATCTACTATTAGCTGCCTGTCTTTCTAGTGATGTTCATCTTTATGGCAGCAGCTATCCCTGTGTTTTGTTACAGACAGAAGATCTGTCAGATGAAGTGTTTGCCTTACGCCACAGCAAGTATGAAGAACGAGAGAGAGCAAGGTGGTCGATGTGGGAGCAGAGCCGCTGGCCCAGGAGGAATAGCAGGCAGGTGTATTGACTTTGATCAGAGGGTTCCTGTTGAACATTGTTTCAGATATGCTGTCAGAGAAACGTTGGAAAATGAGGGCATTCTTCATCAGGGATAGTACTGGGTATGTCTGGTGTCGTGGCTGGAAAGGAAAGGCAGTACTGAAACATGGATACGTACAGAAATGTGGCATGTTAGTGACCTGGTATTAGTGAATAAAAATCTACTCCCACTGAGCACGCAGCTCTGCTGGTTTGTACCACTCCCAGCTGTTACAGCTTTAGCCACCAATGAGCCCTTCTTCACTCACCTTAGATGAAAGTGCACTACACTGCCCATTACTGAAGGGTCCAGGGCTGTGCCAGGCTTGAAAAAGTCATTGTGTGAAAATGGTTAACTCTCACCGGCTTGCTGTCTGGTGCAAAACTCAGCAGAATTAAATATAACCCCTGAAAGCCTTGCAAAAAGTAGTGTGTATGAGAGCAAACATCATAAAGCTGTATCTGCAGTTTGGTTCAGGGAAAATGATTCCCATAAATTGCTTCAGAATCTGCCAGGACAAAAAGCATCCTATAAATGCTGGGATAAGTTTTTCTGCTATTTATTGTATGATTGTGTCTACTCTTGGCTGAAATTGAAGCATGACGCTGTGAGTAAACGTATAGAGATAAGGAGGGGGTTTTAATGCAGAATAAAATTAGAGCTAAACAGTATTAAGGAATTCTGTTTTAAGCACTTTTGAACATAAAAAATGCAGGAAGTGTACTGGAAAAATCCACGTTCTGTATGTACCCTTAATTTTTAAACTAGAAACGTCTTGGTAAAATCTTAGTGCTATTGGAATTCAGAAGTAAAACTGCCGTTGATGTGAGCAAGGTCAGGCTTCCTCCTGGCATTCAAGATGTGTGCCAGTATTTCAGGTCTAGTTCAAAGTCGCATTAAGGGCAAGGTCAACATTTTTAATCTTATTTTAACTGATTTGGAGATGCTCCAGAGCAGAGCTGGGGAGCCCAAAGACCTGCTGTTTCCTCTGGAGTACACTGGCACAATCCATTAACAGTGCAGTTTGGATTCCACAGGCTCCTGCCAGTGATGCCGTGTTCTCCTGAGTGGGAACAGCCCACAGCTCCCTGACTTTTCTGGTCCGAAGTTACAGTTCTGGCAAGCATGTGGAGCAGGAGTGGGAGCAGCCACCATCTATCTGTTCTGCAGGCAGAGCATGCCCATTGCAGCCCTGTTTTCCCCAGTTAATTCCTCCACATAGCATGCTTTGCTTTGGCTTCTGACAACAAGGTTGTCAAGAAGCACATGTTTTCATCTGCTCTTTTGATTTAAATGAGTAGAATGTAAGTAGCATGTATGGAGAAACTGAATGCTCTGAAAATAATCTAAACTGTTCCTGGCAATGTGAGGAGGCAGGGAGTAGCTCTGAAGACTCTCTCATCTCTTACCCTGCACTAGGTCTTACAGCAGAAGTGCTGACGGGCGACACAGCCAAGATTCAGCGCAGAAGGACCAGCACAGCAGCTCCTGCACCTCACTGCACTGTGCTGCTGAGCCTGTGCCCAGCTTGACTTCAGAGGCCCCCAGCTCTGTTTGTTCAGGGACTGCACAACTCTGCAGGGAAAACCAGGAAGCAAAGGTGGGTGCTTCCAAGACCTTCCAGTTGTGGTCAGGTCTTCACTGACCACTATCTCTAACCTAAAACAAAGAACCTGAACGTACGCTCCTGTCTCACTGATCAGCTGACACCCTTGTTTATGAACATAGCGCTCCTGTTTAGAAACCAGATTGCTGATCTTTATTAATGAAGCCTCAGGTAAAAATGTCATTGCTCAGTACACACAACATGTTTTTGAGGCAAATGTGGCAGGCCTGAGTTCAGGGATAGCGGATCTTTATTCAGAGATGTTGGCCAGTGTTCCAGACAGGGTCAGGTATCCTGATGGTCTGGCATCATGGAAAAGAGCTTCCCCCCGCTCCTGTACTGTGCCTATTCAATTGCAGCTCTGTTACTAGTTCAAAACCATATGAAGCCAGCCTACACTGACAGCTGGTGCCTAGCAGTGTTGTATTCTTTATGTGAAGAGCACTGCAAACATTGTAAAGACAGACACTTGTTACTTGATAGCAGATCATTCTGCACATAGCTAATCAGTTCAGACTCAACTGACATCCCTTTTCCCTCCTCTTTCCTCTTTCTCCACCCTCACTCCTACCGTTCCCATTCCTTTCAGTCTGGACTGTGGGAACTTCGAGTTTTTCCATTAAAAGATGAAGAGGTAGAAGCTTTACTGTGCCAAGATCAAGTAACGAACCAGACTGAAATGTCAAGTGCAGCTTTGCCCAGCAACTCTCTCTGTACTTCCTGCACACCCATTGGGCTGACAGACAATGGCCATCCACCAAGGAAACAATCCACTGAAGAGGCAGAAGACTGCGAAAACACTTGCCTGGGAATCAGCAATACAAGAAAACAAAGGTGACAGGGAATAATGTGGTTCATTAAGAAAGCCAATTAAGGTGGAGAAAAGTGTAAGGTAAAATCTCTCTTGTTCAGCATATGACAGCACAATTCAAAACCTGTGCGTTAGCCGCATATAATATATTTTCTTTCTTGCTTTGTAACAGGCAGGATTAATCCCAAAGACAACACTTTCTTCTTCCTGAACCCCAAGAGAAAGTAATTATTTCAAGCTGGAAGTCTAATATTCCCAATGTCGGGAGTGGGCGCACATAAATTGCTGGCACCATTCACTTTCTGTTCTCATATTGCCACATTGTTAATAATCATCCTTTTCTGTTTTGTTTTCGAATGCATTTCTGGCCCTAGTGGATTGTGGTGCAGCAGGCGATGCTGTCTACCTTAACCAACAACTTCAACTGAACACAGAAAAACTACTTGAAAAAACAGTAGGGTCAAGTGAGAGCCTCAGATTATTTTCCTGTGTGGTGTGACCACAGGGCAGAAATCTGCCTTTCGTAAGTGCATATGTGTAACCTATGTGTAAGATAAGGGTAGGCTGAGAACAGGCAGTTTCAAAGCAGGCATTCTGGAAGTCTTGCATCTAGCTTAAAACCTGTACTCAGCCCTCAGTAATGCCAGGACATGTTTCATATAGGTGTCCTCAAGCAATGAAATAGGGATAGACCACTGCATTTCAATAGCCGCTGTATCTGCTACTCACAAAGTAGGGTTTCTGCTTCAGTCAGGTGGGTATAGAAAAACAGAAGGAAAGAGGAGTCGAATCAAATCAGTGACGCAGCTCTCTGAATACTGTGGTTTGGATCATCTTACTTCCTTAGTCCTCCAGTAGCAAATGAGGCTCATAATATTTTGCTTTAATATGTTAAAGTCTTGTTTCAGTTTCTGTACAGTGCCTTGGAAGAGTCTCGTAAGTATGCCAACATTTGGTAACTAGCTGAAAAGGAAAAGATGATTGATGTCTTGTGTCCTGCGTTCAGAGTTACTGGCTGGGCTTAAACCACGACATCTAGGATAGAAGACCAATAAAGAAAAAGACCCCAAAGCTTCCCATTGTGATTCCCAGCCAGTTCACAGTGAGGAAACAAAAGCCAAGTTGTTTAAACTTGCATCTAAAAAGCATAGCTTGCGATGTATCCACAGTCTCAAGAGGTATTAACAAAGATTAAACATTGAATGTAGGTATAATCCATCAACAGGAAGTTTTTCTGTGTAGGACAGTTGAAGGCAATTTAATAGGAGTCTCTGCAGCTGTGCAAAATTCCTTCCATGTGTAACATCTGGAGTGGCACTGGACAGATGACCCAGTTGTAGTGTCAGTTTCTATTTTTTGGTCAAAATGACAGGAAATATACACTGGGCATCTGAAAACAGTTAAGTTTCAACACTACAGCCTATTGCTACATTGTAGTTTATTGCACATTCTGATTATTTTTTTAAACACTTTTTTAACACTGGTTTGTCTTAAACTTGAATCTTGCCTCAATGTCTGATACAATAATCTTTGATGCAAGGTTGGTTTTTTAATTAAAAGTTATTTCTATATATGTTGAATACAGTCTGGATTTGATGGCCTTTTGGCAGTGATCCGTCCTCTTGGCACAGAGACCTGCTTCGCCCAGAATGGCTTTGCAGGAACACTGGAGTGGCAGCAACATTGCGCTTGTGCTGTGAGGCTGAGGCCCCCCTTCGGTGTCTCAGTACAAAGGTCCTACATGTGCATCTGCTGCTGGGAAAAGGTTTCTGAAAGTTATGTGCCTCAAATGCTTTGCAGGTCTTTCCAGGCCTGTATCCATTCATTAAGAAGCCTGATCATTAAGAAGCCAGCTCTCATCTAGCTTTGTGGTAAGGTCAGGACTTACTTCTCTGCCTGATCCCTGGGGGCCATTGGGAGGAATTTCTGCAGTTCAGGACCCAGTAAACCACCCCCCTATCTGCCTTCTATGTCCTAAAGGTGCCTCAGGAAATGGAAATGCAATCCAGCGTTTTATGGATAGGACCAAGAGGGACCAAGAACAGGCTGCATCTGCTTTCCTCACATCCCCTGCCTCCCTCCAGCAGCCCTTCATGGGGCAGGTGAATGCTGTGTGCACACGGCAAGGAAGATGATGGGGTTTGGGAAGCCCTAGGCTGTGCTCCTCACCCACAGCACCCGTATCATGATTTCCACCTTGCTGCAGCAGACCAGACACTGTGCCCTGCCCTCTGCTCTGTGCCTCTTTACTCCAGCCAGTGAGCAACCCCTTTTTCAGTAGTTTCAGTTCACTACAGACACGAGGTTAGAAAGCTTAACTGAACTTGCTCACGGGACCAGCCCCCTCCATTCACCTTCCCCTGTGCTGCGTGCAGTTGGAACTGGCACTCTCCTTTACTGCTGCAGCTCTTATTCCTGCAGAGCTGGACTCCCATATCCAGGCAGTGCCGTTCTGGATGGGTGCTGGTGTCATGAGAAAGCCACTGGTGGTAAGAGTGGGCTGAGAGCAGAGCCAGGCTCATGTTTGAAGCCATAAAATGTGTAAGGAACCCCTGGCTGGTTTTTTTCCCTTTTAAACCAACCACCACATTTGCTGTGGCATGGAAACGGCTGTCAGCACTGCTCCTGATGTTGTGGGCTGAAGGTATTACAAAGGCTGACTGTGAAACAGCAACTTAACCACACTGCAGCAAGGTCCCTCCATGCATGAAAGCAGGTGCTGCAGCTTGACAAAGCCATTTCCCTGACACATCATTTACCATTTTTGAAGCCACTTTTTAAAGCCACTTCCATTCTGCTCCCTGCTGCTAGGAAGGTTTAAATGCTTCATCTCTGCATCCAGGACCTTAACGGAAAGCAAGTACAAACACAAACTTCTAAGCCCTATTAAAATTAAGTACGTTCTGTGTGCATCTACTGCAGTGTTTTCTCTTGCTCAGGGATGTGGTGCACCACCCTGAGCTGCACATGCCCAAGCACAGCCTTACTCAGCTGTCTTGGAGTTTCTTTTACCCTGTTTCCCCATACAGACAGATCACCCTGGACCGCCTGAGCGCACATGACTCAACATCAGAGCATGCTCCCCCTTGCTGCTGAAACTTACCAGAGTATTGCAACATCTAACAGGCCCTGGGGTTTATTTGGCCTTGTGCATACCATGCAAGCTGCTCTTGGTTTCCATGTCAGTGCTGGGTTCAGGTCCTGCAGCTGTGGCACTTCCACTGTGGGTTACGTTACTGAGGACAGGCTGAAATAGAGCCTGACAGATTACTTCTGCTAAGGTATAGAGGCAAGAAACCAGAATAGTCTTAAGCATTAGAAGAACAAGTTATCATTACTGGTACTTCCATGGATGCTCTGCAGTCACCAATGGATTGAACCTTATGTGTGTAAACAGCTGCTGCACACACCTGGATGGGATTTAGATGGAAAGAAGCAATTGAGTAAGTTTACTGTGTAAATTCTCCCTCTCCCTCTCCTGACCTGAGAGCTGGTGGAAGTGCAAACTGCCAGATTTAAAACACAGTGATACAACCTGTGAAAGCAAGCGTACCACAGGGGTCTCTGCTCAGACCGAAGCACAGTAATTAACCACAGTGATCAGTTAACAAAGCGCAGTACCTTGGTTAACCAGCAGGACTTTGGGATGTCCCTGTCCCCCTAGCGAATTAAGAGAAAACATAAATGGTTTGATTACCCTTTCAGCCCAGTTTATGGCCAGCTGAAGGAGGCAAGGCTACTACAGCTGTCCTCCTGCTGCTTTCAATAGCATGAAAATAGCACTTCCAGATCTTAAACTGTCAGTTTCAGGGCCTGTTTGTGGCTGCTTGCCCTGCACATTAGATACCACAGCCGGGCCTGTTTCTCTGTGCACACTGAATTACACTCTACACAGGTTCCTTCCAGAGGTATGAATGAGCTGCTTTAACACACTGAACAGCCATTTGGACTATTACCTTTCCTAGCCAAGCTTTCTCTTGGCAAACCTCTTCAAAAAGATGTCTTCAGTGCAGTAGGTCCCAATGATTCCGTTTTTCTTTTACTAGTTCTCAAATGGGACATTTGTTCACCTAAACCACAACTGACCACACAGGAAAAAGCAGCAGTTTAGCCATTTCAGACACTTCTCCACTGTCTGAACTAGCCCTAGCTCCTGCTACAAGGACAACATGTTTGACTTCGGCCTTGTGGAAGTGCAACTGCCTGCAGCTCTTGAGCCTCTTCCCCTAGGGCAGCAGCAGCAGACTGTTTGCAACCCTCCTGTAATGACAAGTTAAAGGGAAAAAGCACCTTGCAGATTACCATCAACTATCAAAGGAGACAGCAGTCCTAATTGGAGCCATGGGAGGCAGGTCTGGTTAAAATGACCTGCTCAGCAATTACTCTAGTGGGCTCTGCCCATTCCCATGCTCAAGCAGGCCAGGCTGTGAGGTCAGTACAAGCAGTCTGAAGGTAAGAGAACTATTTGGCTTCGTAGTTAAGAGAAGTATTAAGCCTTTTGCAGAGCCATCTCCCTGTAGTGGTTTCAGCCTACATACACTGAAATCACTTGGTAGACAACATTGTTGTACATCACTATGTAAACTGTTTACTGAGGCACATACACAAACCAAGGAGCCTGGGGGCTGAAACAAGGGTTTGGGTTTTTTCCACCATCTGTAGGGTTTTAAAGCATCATTCCTCCATGGAATCCCATCACTGTCAGGGATTACAGGCACAGCTGTCTGAAATGGCTAGCTGAAAGATAAATAAGGATGTATTTCCCACACTGTGACTGGCAAAGGATGCTTGTCTTAATGTCAGTTGAGCGCTTCTATGCAGTAAAACAAGACATAGGAATGTTTCTAGCAATGGGAGCATTTGTTCTGCTCTCTTAAACTGCATTTTTCCCAAAGTTACTTATTCCCAAACCCACTCCCTTCTGACAATCAGCTAAAAGGACACTTACCACACCAAGGAAGGGGTGTTTAATGCAGAAGTGGAAAAGTTTTGTAGGAATGCACAGATCAAATATCAAATACAGATAGCAGAAGGCAGTTTTGATTAGAGTCTTCCACAAGAGAGACTGCTTGTGGTGATGCTACACTCTTATAGCAAGCAAATAACTGACTGCAGTTTAGGTGAATCCAGTCAGTGTCCTAGGCTGCGCTTCCTCAGAATCACGAGACAGGTTCAAACCATTGCATTTCCAACCCTGAAACACAGCCAGAATGTTTTGCACTGCTGCTTGCTTCACTGCATCGAGGGGATGATTCCTCTGTTGAGCAGCAGCGTGTTTCCATAATCTATGTTCAGATGTTCATCCAGCCCTCCCTCACACGAGAAACAAGGGATCTCCTGCCCGCACAGAGCCTGCTGGAACACCGCTCGGGTGGGTCTCATCGATCCAGACAGCGCTTCTGAGCTGCTTCTGAACACACATTCCTTAGGAGATTGATCACAGATCTCGGATCTGCACTCTTCATAATGGCGCTGCCGGATACGATCATATTTGCACCTGCCTGAAAGACATCAAACACCCACTCAGTAACATGGAACAGACCCACTTCTGAGCGAGCTTCCTTGCTGCAGAACAGGTAGGACACAGGTAACATACCTCTACCTACAACCACAACCCCAGTCCAGAAAAGGGAACTTCCCCAAATAGGCAACTGCTTCATCACTGCTATTAACCCAAAGACACAATAAGCAACCAACTTCTCCAGCTTCGGGGAGGCTTCAGTAGCTGCTATTAAAAGGGCACACGACAGGACCACAGGAAAACACTGATCCTGTGTGCTTTGCTGTTCCCTCTGAAAGCTCACAGCCAAACCACAGTTCCTCCTGAGCTTTATTTCCCAAGGGAAGTCTCTCAGCACAGTGACTGAGAACACTGCCCTGCATCAGCCTCTTACCTCTGCACACTTGTGGATGGTGTCGGGTCCAACTCCTCCATCCACTTCAATGTCCAGTGAGGGAAACTGAGTCCTCAGCCACTGAACCTGAGGAACAGCACAAAAAGATTGACCCCGAGATTCACACTTGGCTGCTACAGTTACGTAGAGCTGCTTACGCACCCAGACAAAGTTTATTCACTTCCCCACTACACCCCATACTGTTAATTCCCTTCATGCTCAATAAATAAGGGAAGCGAGACTTAGCTGACCTTTGGCATCATGTCTTCCATGAATTTCTGCCCTCCAAATCCAGGTTCGACTGTCATCACCAAAGCCATGTCTATCTGATTGGCCCAAGGTGCCAAGTGCTCAACCGTGGTGCAAGGCTTGATCGCCAAGCCAACCTGCAGCAGAGGAGAGACAACTCCAAGTGCGCCTTGGGATGACAGCAGCTCAGAATGGACTCCTAGGGAAACAATGATGTGTCTGTGCAAGCACGGGAAGCACAGGATGCTGGAAGTCAAGGCTCCTGATTGAAAACCAACTTCACGCATAGTGTCGGGACTGCATCATCCGCTCTCTGACCACCCAAAACTGCAGCGAGGGGTCTTTCATCGCCATACACGCGGCTGTTGGCTGTGCTGCGCACAGTGTGCTGCTCCAGCCCCACCTCCCCTCACCTTCATCCCATTCTCCCGAATGTCCTTTATCAACGCTCCCGGGTTGTCCGTAGCTTCCAGGTGGAAGGTGTACTGGTTGGCGCCCGCCACAGCCATCGGCTTCACCCACTGCTCCGGCCTGGCCACCATCATGTGCATGTCTGGAGGAGGGGAGCGGAGCCGTGAGGCAGGGCGGCAGCCGGGCGGGGAGCCCTGTGTCCCCCCGGCAGCCCCTTACCGAAGAAGGGGTCCTGGCCCAGCTGCTTCCGCAGGCTCTCCACGACGGGGTGGCCGAAGGTGATGTTCGGGACGAAGTGTCTTGGGGCCGAAGAGAGAACACCCGACACCGCCGGTTACCGCGGGCCGGGCCGCCCCCCGGGCCGCCCCCCGCGCTCCCTCCCCGCCCGCCCCAGCCGTTACCCGTCCATGACATCGAGGTGCAGGTAGTCGGCCCCGCAGTCCAGCATGCGGCTGCACTCCGCACCCAGCGCCGCCAGGTCGCTGTTGAGGATGGACGGCCCGACCCGGCACCCCGACGCCATCGCTGCCGCCCCGCGCATGCGCCCCCGCGCTGCCTGATGGGACAGGGACGAGAGGGAGGAGGCGCGGTACCGCCCTGCCCGCCGCCATCTTGGGTGTTGTGGAGGGGGCGCTGTGAGGGGCGGGCGGATGGAGCGGCTCGGTGCCCCGCGGGCTGAGGGGCCGGCGCAAGGGCTCCAGAGCCCCGGTTCCCTAGGCTCGTTCCCTGACCAAGTCGCCTTTGGCGCTTAGGAGGGCACAACCCCCCCCCCCCCCACCCCCCAAGGTTTGAATTAGGGCGGGGGAAGTTTGGGGCAGTGTTTTAAGCTCCCAGGAACCCGCGTTCTGTCAGTCCTGAGGCAGCTCCAGGCAACGGCATCCTGAACGCCAGGCTGGGGCTGCCTATAGCAGGGCGCGGGTGAGAGCCGAGGGGTGAACGTTAGCAGTGCCTCGAACAGCCTATCAAAGCCTGCTCCAGAACCAGAGGAACGCGGCGTTGCGCAAGAGACTCAAACGCAGAACGCTGTCCTTTTGCCACCACTCTGTATTTTAGTCATCGGAACAAGGTTTGCATCACACGCTGAGGCGAGGGGACCGACACAGGGAGGAGACGCGCACAGCCCGGACACGTGTGGGACATGACATGCGCTTAAGGCCTCTAACACTAGTTAAGCAGCATCGTTTGTCTCGACAGCAGAAACACAGCAGTTCTGTCACAAAGACACTGGGGCAGAGCAGGAAACCAGCCCGAGTACACTGTATGCACCTCATGAGTACAGTAGTAAGTGCGACCGATAGCTGAGTAAAGCACAAGAGAGAACAGGCTGTTCCACCTCAACACTCATCCAACACAACCAAAGCCAGCTGCACAGCCACCTGAATCAAACGGAATTACAGAGTATTACGTCACTGATAAGCTGTGCTGATTTCTAGCAGGGTAGACATTAAAAAGAGGCATTATAGTCCTTGCTATGGCTTACCACTATGGATTCACTGGTGTGAGAAACCTGGATGGGAACAGGTATTACATAGACTGAAGGAAAGCACAGTTACTGTTATGGTTAGAGTGGAGTAACCATGGTGAGGTTTCATTAGGGAAGATGCTTCCCTCTCAGTTTCAGCAGCAAAGGTCACTATGAAATGCACCACATGTTCCCTATGCATTGTGCCTGAAACACTCCTCCCTGCACAACTGCCAGTATCCAGCCTACCTGGGATCTGAAAGTGAAGCTGTTTTCCCCCATTGGTGCGTGACTGGTACTAATAAAACTCAGCATCTGGAATCTAGCTGTTCTGGGAGCCAGCTCCAGGCTAGGAGCAGCTCCGAAGCGGTCTCTATGTAGGTGCTGCTGAGGAGCTAAGCAGTACAGTGTGTTTCGGTCAGCACACAAAGCGGTTTGTCATTGAGGACACTGCCGTCTTCACCTCACCATCCCTCTGACAGAACCATGGTCACATTAGATTGCATTAGTGCCCCATCGAAAATGCATATATGGTGGTACAAGTGGTGCCTTTTCAGCCCTGCTCTTCCCAAGAGGTGTTGGGAATCTGTCTCCCCATTGCAGAGGGAGCAGAGCATGCTCACCACCCCCAAGCCTGGGACGAGGATGGCTTTTGCTACCTTCAGAGGCGTAATGTGCATGAGTTCCCTCCTCAGGCTGTTGTGCACAGCTCCTGTCCCCTCTGAGCGTTTGGCAAGTACAAGGCAGCACAGCCCGAAGGCTCCATGGGTTTCAGCAGGCTCAGACCTGCTGTCAGGTGTGTGGTTACTTTTCCACACACACCAGTAACAACCTTGTGCTGCGCTACAGCAGTGAGGCAGTGGCTTGTATGGCAGTATTTTAAACAGCTGAGCTGTAGAAGAGAGATGTCCTTTCTATGGAGAGTCCTTTGCATGGAGATGGACAGGAGGGTATCATTCTGTCTCCTCAGTAAGGCTGGTTTATGATGTGTGTGTCCAAATTACAAGCCCTCAGGAATGAGACTGGCAATGAGCACATTTCATCTCAGGATGATCTGAAACATATTCCTCGGCACGATAATGCCATGATTACAAACTCGGGCTCTTCTAACGTAAGCTGCAAAGGGCAGGACGTGATTCCCAAAGCCCAGGGTAACTTTGGGCATTGCTTATGATTTCATGGTTTGTTTCACAGCTGTTGTGCAGTTTGCCTGTAAGCAGCTAATGGTTAAAATCACATTCCAGTGTAATTCCATGATGCTGCAGCATAGTCCATAACTCAGCAGTGACTTCAGCTGATCCCCCACGAGGATCTCCACCTACGTATAAATGTTACATATATATATATCTAATACTTTGCAGCCATGAACATTACGTACAGAAAATGGAACCTTTTGAAATACAATCTCAACATGCCAAAAATAGATTCTTTCGTCAAGTTTCTGCCCTGCAATAGCCATCTTTTGTTTACAATGTACATATATATTTATGTATAGGAACATGAAAATACCATATATAAATATTTACTTTAAACCCCTATAGCTAAGTACATAGGCCAGCATCCATGGAGCAGTTGCTAGGCACTGCAAGGTCCACCCATTCCAGATGTGGTTTCTTGGGTGTTTTTGAAGCTGTGGAGATGAATTACTCAATACATTTAAGCAGGACAGCATGGGCTATTTATAGCATCTGCAGGCCCCTCAGCCCCCTGCCCATCACTATCTGTGCACAGCACGTGCATTCCTTCTTATGTATGTGCCCTATTTAGTTTTACAGAGCAAATATTTTTGTAGCACAGCCTTAGAGAGTGGAATGAAACCGACAGACAAAAGTAAACACAACTGAAGTCTGCAACAAAAACCAACAACAAAACAGGTCTAGTTGCTCCATGGTACTTATCATTGCTCTGCAAGTTAGAAACAATGATTCCAGGCTTGTGAAAATCAATCTGTGGTACTTTTTCATCAGTGTTTTCACTGTCAGTACCAAGGTGTCAGAGCCTTGAATTCAGTCACTATATAGCCCTCCTCTCAAAACCACTACAAAAATAACCTTGGGCACAATCTCAAGAGAGGCTTCTCTTCTGTCTCATACAGTACAACAGCTTGCTGTTCACAGTGCATGGCTGCCAGGGCAAGGTTTTATGGACCACGTATTTGCCCAGACACCCCTACCCTGAGAATCTGCTAAAAATTCTCTGTTCCTGTGGCCTTGCCTTGAACTGAAATAGATTTCACCAACAGGAATTGGCCAGTCTATAGCAAGCAGCTGACGGCTGTTTTCTGCTTTTGGATAATAAAGTGCTCTTGTTTTACTTAGTTACTAGTTACCAGGGAACTCAAAGGAGAAGGTGCGCTTTCCCTTCCTCCTCCCACTGCTGCATTTCCCCCAGAGTTAGACATGAGATTCATCCAGGTCGACATCAGTCTCCCCAAGCTCCACATTTGTGAAGCTGAAGTGAGTGGCCAGCAAGGGGTTCTCCATGCCGTTGTCCTCACTGATGTGAAGGACAGTGTCCCCATGGTGCAGCAAGCTGGTGGTCTCCAGGCCAGCATAGTCCTCCGAGTCGGAGAGCTGGGTGGGTGGGGTGCTTTGTGCCGTTGTTGGCCGGGATTCCAAGCCCTCCTCTTTCTCCTTCTCCTTCTCAGCAGGAAGCGCCTCGCTCTGCAGTTGAGGAAAGCCCATGGTCAGGCCCAGAGAAAGTGGGAGGGAGCCAGGGAAAAAAAGCAAGGGAACTTCTATAAAGTATTTTCTCAGTCAGAAATACTTTTTACCATAAAGGGCCAGGCACGTGCAGATTATAAATGCCTAAAAGTTTGTTGTAATGATGTATTTTTTGCTGATGAATCAAATCTGTAGCAGTGATCAGAAAGGTTATCTGATTTCAGTCATTAACACTGCCTCACTGCATGTTTTTTAGTGTAGATGGGTGTCTTTAATGTGTTCATGGCAAAGGACACAACCCCCAAACGCACGAGATGTGTGTATATCTGGTGTATAAAAATGGTATCAATGACACTAACATCTTGAAGGGATGACTGTGATTGCCCCTGCACTGTCCTCACTGGTGTCCAACACACACAGCAATTGGACAAGCAGTTTCTTTTGAAATGCAATGCTGCTGAAGGAGCCCTGAGGTTTTGAAGAAGTACTTCCTTTTAGGATGCATTTCTCAGAGAGCAAGCTGTCAAAACCTGCTGATGAACAATCGCACTGGTGGGCAGGTCCAGAAGGACTGCTGTGTGTGACGGAAGATGGGAAGGGAGGATGCAGGACAGGCAGGCAATGGCAGTGTCAGTCATGTTACCTGGCCCGTGCTCTGGCTGTGGAGATCAGCTACAACGATGGCAGGCGAGGAGGTGAGCACAGGCTGGCCTGGCGGGTCCTGCTTGCTGGGCTCCTGGGGGCTGCTGTGGCTGCAGCCGGGCTGCTGGGCTGCCGGGGCCGGTGTGGTCCCTGGGGAGGCTGCTGGTGCCTCAGGCTGCACCTCAGTGAAGGTCACCGACCGCTTCTGCTCCGCTGAGGGTACCAAGCGGAGTATTAAAATCAAGTATTAAATATAATACAAATATATATGTAAATATATATTCAATATAAATACAAATCGAGTATTAAAATGCTGCAGTTTGGAAAGGAAAACACAAGAAGAAGAGAAAGAATCCCTGGAGTTGTTACAGCTAAGAGAAGATGCATGATTCACTCCATCTTTATAAGCTGTCTAATCGGAGTGTAATCTAAAAGCTTTTTTACCCCAGGCTTCCTCTAAAGCCACAGCAAGAGTCAGGGATCACCTCAGGACTAGTCACCCTACCTATCTTTGTTGTGGCTTGGTGAGGTAAATGCCACCCATAACATCTCTCCATCCCAGAAGAATATACTGAACTGAATTCCCATGTGAGTTATGCATTTCTGCCCTCAACTATACAAGGAAAGCTGAGATGCTAATATATAAGGGAACTGCCCAAGGTTTTGCAGGAAATTGGAGAAGAGGGCAACTAATTGCCCTGCATTCTTGCAGACCGAGTCTGCTATGTGGGAGTAACAGAACAGCACAGAGTGAAGGCAGCTAGGCTAAAACTTAGCAAGCAAAACTGATATCC